CCTGTATTGTGTTATATGTCCTGATATCTTTTCTGATAGCTTTAGATATATCTTTATTTAACTGTGATAAGCGGGTGGAGTTTGTTGTATGTTTGTCTAGCATTTCTCTTCTTGATTTCATCATATTTAATGTGTTCAAACTCAATTTTTTTCCTAATTGCAATATTTTGTTCTTGTATAAAACAAAGATAATTTGAAATAAGATAGATATACAAATAGGTAAAGAGGAAGATGAGGAGACAACCTTGACATTAATGGATAACGATCTGAGATGCAGACGAGGAAGAGTAACATTTTTACTTGAAGCTCTAGATCCAAGAAGAGAGAGGTTCTGAGATCATGAGAAATCCCAATTGAATAGTTTACATGACGTCAAAAATGGTAGAAGAAGCGACTCTCATCCTGCTCAATTAGTCCTGGAGACTTGCTCATTTAGTAACAATCATGAGAAACTCAATAGAATGTTTGTATTCGAGATCTTACAGAAGCAGTAGGACTTAATGAAAGTCAGACCACGAGTACCAATAACACCCCGATCATCTCTCAGACGATATAATCTGGAAATACTGAACTAATGCATGAATCCAGAGCACTAACGCTTGAGATAACAAGGAAAACATGCCTCAGCTGGGAAAGCTGTTCATCTTTTCTGATGTAATTTAACGGAAATGAAGGTTTAACTAGTCAGGTACATAACACAAATAGGACTGGTGGCTCACTTCAAATTATTTTCTACACCCTCCCTATTTGAAGTAAGTCCCCATGGAAAGTCCTTGGTTTCTGACACAAAATTAATTTTACTCTGTCCAATGCTTTTGTAAAAGAATCAGCTAACATCTTCTGAGTTGGCACATATTCTAATTTAAGGATTCCATTATTTATTTTTTCTTTCAAGAAATTATGACGAACATCTATATGCTTCGTTCTGGATTGATAACCCCCCTTTAGTGCCAATTTCTCTGCTGATTGGTTATCTACATATAACAATGTTGGTTCTTCAGTGCAATTAAAATCTTTACTGAGAACTCTAAACCATATAGCCTCTTGTGCTGCCATTGCCATGCTCATATATTCAGCCTCTGTTGTAGACAACGCCACACTAGGCTGTTTTTTACTATTCCATGATATCGGGGAACAATTTTTCATAAAGATGTAGCCTGTATTAGATCTTCGATCAGATGGGTCATTTGCCCAGTCAGCATTTATATTTAAATTTATCAAATTCCAGTCTGCAGTTTAATGTTCCCTTTAAATAACGGAGGATACGCTTAACTGCTGACTAATGTGCAAGTCCTGTTCTTTGGTTAGTTTTTCTCCTGCTACCAATGGTGTATCTACCGGGTTTGCATTTTCCATATTGAACCTCCTGAGTATTTTTTTAAATGTAAGCTTTTTGATCAATCCATAATTTTCTTAGTTTTCTGTCCCTTGTTATCTACATACCCAGTATATGTTCGACTTCTCCGATATCCTTCGTTTTGGAATTTCTGAGAAGTTGATTTTTCAGTTCTTCTTTTGCCTTCTGGTCATTTGACAAAAGAATAATATCATCCACATAAATTCCAACTATTAGTTTTACTTTTTCATTAATTTTATAATATAAACAAGAATCTGACTGACTGACTTTGCTTTAACCCAATATTTTTCATAAATTTGTCCAACTTTTCATTCCACACTCTACTTTCTTGCTTTAATCCATAGATGGATTTTTCCAATGTGCAAACTTTGTCAGTTTTTTAAAATATTCTGGAGGTATCATGTAGATTTCTTTAGTCAACTTTCCAGTCAAGCTGTGACTGCATCCAACTGGTCTATATTTAAATCTTCTTCAGCAAAAAGAAAGAAGTCGTATTGAAGTATATCGAATTACTGGTGAGTATGTTTCCTCAAAATCAATGCCTTTTTTTTGAGCACAACCTTTAATGTCTAATCGAGCCTTATACTTAACGTGATTTTCTTCCATTTTGGTTTTAAACACCCATTTACTTTTAAGGGGTTTTTTGTCTTGTTGAAGATCGACTAATTCCCATGTGCCATTTTCAATTTGTACATCATACTCATCTCGCATAGCTTTTTTCCATTGTTTTTTATCTGACCTATTGAGAGCTTCATCAACATCAATAGGATCTTCTTCTTCTGTATTAATAATAACTGCTGTATATGTAACATAATCTTTTAATGTTTTAGGAACCTTTCTCTCTCTCTGTGGTCTTACAATTGGATTTAAATTATTAACTTCTACTACTTTTATTTGGTAATCTGAATCTGCGTTATCTTTTTGGTTATCTTCTAGTAAAATTTCTTCTGAATCATTCTCTTCTTCTGAATATTTATATTTCACGCCATTTTCTTCTGTTACTAGTTTTTGTTCAACTTCATCAAAGAAGAAAAAATATTTTAGTTCCTTTTCTGTGTTGTTCTTTTCCAGAAGTATGCTACCTTTTTCTTGTTCAACAAATTTTACATCTCTGGATACAAATACTATGTTTTTTAGTGGATCATAAAGCCTGTATGCCTTCGACTCCAAACTATGACCAACAAACATACTTGGAATTGCTTTCTGATCCAATTTCTTTCTCTTTTGGCTCGGAATGTATGCATATGCTTTGCATCCAAAAATTCTTACATGAGCAACACTTGTTTTTGTTCCAGTCCAGAGTTATTACGGTGTCTTTCCGACACATCGACTAGGAATTCTATTCAGTAAGTACACAGATGTGTTTACCGCCTCTGCCCAAAAAATATGTGGTAAAACCAGCTTCCTCTATCAGAAGACAACGAGTTTTTTCAAGAATTGAACGATTTAACCATTCTGTTCAGGTGTATAAAATGAACTGTAAGCTGATGTTGTATTCCAGCATTTTCTAAAATTCGAGAAAGCTCAACATTACAGAATTCTTTTCCATTATCGGTATGTAGTATTATTTTTTTTGCCCTGATTGATTTTCTGCAAAATTCTGAAATTTCCTAAAATATTCTGTGACTTGATTGTTATTTTTGAGAAAATAAACAAAAATAAAGTGAGTATAATCATCTGGAATTGTAAATATGTACCTTGAGCCAGAAAGTGAATCCACTTGCATTGGTCCATATAGATCAGAGTTGCAAAAGTTTTGATGATTCTATCTTACTATCCTTGAAAGGTAATCAGTGCATTTTACCCATCACACAACTTTCACATTCAAAGTCCAAGTAAAAATTGTCTGTGTAATCAACACCATAAAAAAGACCGTTTTTCAATTTATTAAGATTCACTGCATTCACATGTCCTAGCCTGCGGTGCATTTTTTCTCGCTTGCTTTTGACAATAAGGCTGCTTGTTGCAAACTGAAATCCAATTTGAACCAATTGTTACATAAACTGGCTGTTGCCATAAGTTTTTCTTGTAAATTATATATTTTTAGCACCTTTTTGATTAGAAATTACAGTGTTACCTTTGGCAACAATCTGACTAACAGACCGTAAATTAACTTTCAAATTTGGAACATAATATCATCGGTTTGGTGCACAACTATCCTAAGTCAATTTAGGAAGAATTGGAGTAAAACGCAACTAAAGATTTCTTGCCCTTGTGACTCGATTGTTTTTTGAGCTAGATTTTTACAATTTCAGGAGTTACTTAACATACTTAAGAGGTACAGTATGTTTAATTTTGATCGAAATTCTTGTGATAAGGGACATAGAATAATTTGACCATCTAACATTTTAAAAGCAAACTAGCCAATCCACCATAATAGGACATAGGATATGGAAAGAGAATTGATAGTGCACATAGGATTATTAAGTTTTTGAAACTTGGTAGTGATAATAAGGTAGATTTTAGGATTTAGAATGATTTTCTTTTATTTCTAGAAATTAACAGATTAACAGAGTCTCAAACTAAATACTGACAATGTACCTAAAAATATTGGCCCAGTGACAGACCTATTCATGTGGCAAACTTAAAAAAAAGGGCTGGTATTCCTTGGCAACAGCATTCTTCTTGCAGTAGTAAATTATAAAATCATACTTAATCTTGGAAGTGAATATTAATTACACTTTGATATTATTCTATTTCTAAGAACTTTTAGATTATATTGAAGAAAACTTATTGGTTCTTTTCTTGAACCCTCCTTTATGTTAATTTTATAAAACCCCTTTTGTAGCTTGTATGCAAATTTCAAAATATCTGGCCTAGCAAAGTCCACTTGCACACAGCTAATGTCTGTTCACTTAACACAAGTATCTGTGTCTAACTTTTTGGTACATTGTGTCAATAAGTCTTTAAAATCAAACAACTCCAGTTTGATTCAACTCGTTGACAAAGTAAGGTTTTTTTACACATGCAGTGCGCGCTATAGTGGCCCATTGTCCTGGAGTGTATATTGGAATGCGTCTGGCACATCTCTCGATGGCACTGTGCATAGAGTTCCCTTCATTCTGGGTATGTCCACCTCCATGAAACTCAGAGTTATTTTAACTTGGTTTGTAATGTACATAAACTTGTTTTTATTTTGGCCTGCGCAATTATCAGAATAAAACGATATTTCTCTGCAGCCGCTGTCTGCCTTCATTTTAATAAATTTCAAAACACAACTGCCTATCTCGCAGGTTCCTCAAGAAGCTATGGCCTCATGCCACATGTAACAATATCCCTGTTTTTTCTCAGCCTCGTAGACTGTTAAATTGTATGTAGCTATTTTTGACTTGTAATACGTGTGACCAACCTCTATCTTGGGGCATTGTAACACTTATTGAAGATCAAAAATTGCCAGACAGTAACTGTTATCTGCAGAAGCTTTTAACTTGTCATTATCTTTCTTCTTCCGCATTGCTTCTTTACTTAATAGGTGACTTTCGACAAGAAATTTCAACTCAACTTTCTCGGCATCATTTGAGTTTTGATAATTGACGCATAAATCGTACTGATCCTTCTTTGGAATATGAAATCCTATATTAAATTTATTCACAAATATCCAGCGAACTCACGAACGAAGTCTTTCTTATCAACTCTGTTTTCCTTACAATAATCCATATACAGTCTGAACATTTTTGAAATATTCAATGACCCCAGGTAAATATTTCTTTGAAGAGTCTTTTCTAGAATAATGACTTTCGACGGCTTCAAATGAATTTATTTGATCCTTTACTAAAAGTTCTTGTCGCTGACTTATGCAGGTTTTTGTTATGTAATTTCTTCCCCTATTATCCCCATCTATGGTAACCACACTGTTTTCTGATATATTGAGCTTCGCTGCTACGGTCTTTACATCTTGGTGACTTATTCCAAATGTATTGAGTAAAAACGGTTGAGAGACTTTTTCTCTTTCTCCTTCTTCTGAAAACAAATGGTAAAAGTAATGTATCTAAGTAATTTTTCTGCGACTATTATCACCAACATTCACATTATCTTCATTACTGATATCCTCTTGTCTGGACCTTTTAGTTTCGACGAAGACGTTATCGATTTTTTTTTTTCTAAAATCAACAAACCTTAGAATAAAATCTCGTTGGCGATTAACGTCTCCCAGTGCCCAATATTCAAAAAAAATGGAAAGTCGCATGTCTTTTGATATCTTATTCACACATTTCAGTCTGCAGGTATTTTTACAAGCCTTACAAATTTCTTAGTTTTTTCATCTCATTTCTTTTCGAGTAGTCATTCACTTTCGGTTTCCTTTTCCTTGACTTCAGCGGTTCGAATTCTTCACCATCAGCAATAATTGTTTGGTTTTCTTCTTCAGATGATATGATTTCATTGTTATCATCTTCACTTGGCATTGAAAAATAGTTTACAAGAGAGCGATTATTGTTTCTGGTATCCAGTATCAGGTATATAATCCGCATCCGAGTCGGTATAAAAAGGATCATCACATTCCAATGTCTCTATTGAAAGTAACCCAGTAAATCCAATAGAAGGTACCATTACTAAAAAGTTTCTGGAGTAATAGTTAAATTACTTACCTTCTATTGTATTTTTCCATAGGAATGTTTATTAACTCAGTCATTTCTGAGATAATCAAGGCACTTTTTCCACTGCTGTGTTCAGGAGATGGGGTTGTGTCATTAACTGCAACAACTGTCAGTTCAGAGTTACTTGAGGAATTTTCTGCATTGCCTTGTTCTGCTGCAGATTCAATGTTTTCCACAATGACATCGACCTTAGTGTAGTGATGTTCGTTTTCTATTCTTACACTGCTTATATTGCTCACTAAATCTAAAATTCAAGTCTTAAAGAGTTTTAAGATGTGAAAAATTATTGCCACCCATATTATGCTCAGCAACTGTTATTAAAATCTACCAGAACTTAAAGGTATTTGTAACATATCCATTATTTTTTTAGCTCTTGTGTTTATGTTTCATGTCGTATACACTTGTCAAAACAAAAAACTCTCAACAAATCTGAATCAATAGTAAACAATACAACACTGAGATAATTGTCTGGAAGTCTGGAGCATTGGTAGTGGTTGTCAAGCTGTTTACGCGGGAAAAAGTGACAATTCTCGAAATACGTTTCATAGGAATTTCATGCGACAAAATAGCAAATTCTCTGTGACTCGTGAAACATTATTTCGCTTATGACCAACAACTCGTATATGGTTTTGCTTAGTCCGGCTATACTATCCTAAGTCAACCATTTGTTAAGTGCATACCTACTATCCTAAGTCCAATTTTGGACATAGGCTAGATTACATTAATGGAAAAATTCTGCTCCGTTGTTAGGATATTTGTATTTTATAAATTTTTAAGACGGGAAATTTAACAATTCTGACTTAGGATAGTTTAACAGTAAAATATTGGTCTTTTTCATAACTATCACTCATAACCCGTTTTTTGGAAAAAAAATGGAGAATAGTTTTGCACCAAACCGACGATATTATGTCTTTTATGTTAATGTCAACTTTATTTTTATTCACATTTACCTTTAATCTGATATCACCTACTGTCTGAGTTGACATTTCTTCATTATTTGCAGTACTTATTATTAATTTTGCTGCTTCTCTTTCCCTTTGAAATGTATCTCTATATGGTCTCATGTGAGCTGAACACCCTGAATCGAGATACCAAGGGTCTACATTTCTTCTACATTCTACAGAAAAAGCTGAAAGTAGGGCTTCGTTTTGATTTCTCTTTTTCTTATTTTGATCACAATTAGATGCAAAATGACCAAACTTGTTGCAAGAATAACATCTGGGACCTTTAAAACCTTGGCCGTTTTTCTGATTATTCCCTGAAGACTTATTTCCTTTAGAATAATTTGTGTTCTTATTTGCACCATACATTGTCACTGTATTTTCAGGTCCTTTAACTATACTGAAACATCTTACAGGTGTTTTGTTTTTATTGAGTTACCTGTTACTGCAGTGCCAGAGCTGCAGCCTTCTAAAGTTGTTGTTATAAGAATACGCAAAAGTCCTATACGGCGCGTTAATCACGAATCTTCAAAAGCCTTTTTAAGATTGTTCCAAGCTTCTTTTGGTGTTTTGGATGACTGCGCATGAACATAGTGCGCCGGATCAACCAAAAGTATTACTTGTGAACGGGCTTAAGTCACCTTTTTTGTATCAGTCTCTGAACCTTCAATTGCATTCCATAATTCTACGTGTTCCAAATAGGTCTTGAGACAAACCACCTATTTAAAATATTGTTTCTCCAAATCTTAACTTTTTAAAAACGTTTACGATAAAAAGAAAAGCAAATGGTAAATGTTGCAACCATGTATGCGCTGTCGAGTAGGGGCGAGCGTAGACAGGCCACACAAAAAGAGTAGGTACTGAAGGGGAGATAGAAGAGAATGAGAGACTAGATCAGAGAGAACAAGCTTTGAGCTTGTCCCCCATTGTTCATTATTCAATTTTTATTTTGTATTGAACTGATTGTTCATTTCAATTTGCGATTAGTTTGTGTGTCATAAGGAGCCATCACAGGTCAGTTGAATAAATGTTATTTTGTTTTTGAGTCTTCAATTTATACAAGTATTATTTTTGCCATTTTTATGTTTTTTGTTTGTTTATAACATTTTTTATACCATGTGCATTGTTCATGTATTTAACAAAAATCGTTTCTGCTGTAAACAATGCAGATAAAAAGTAAATGAAAACTAAAGAAATTATGTGGATTATGGGATTATGGGATTTTAATTTGGGTATTCAGAGCGTGCATTAGGGCCTACTAACACTTTCCTACCCTGACGAGCGAATATCCTAGCAAACAAATTGAAAAATCAATCTAGAGATATTGGCTCAAAATACCAACTATAGCTAAGTAGCCTTCCGTAACCAGGGACCTCAGTACCTGCTGGTGAAACTACCAACTAACCAAAAACTCTTCAGTATTGAATTTAGGTAGTGTTGATCGAATGTGGTGTGTGAAATTAAAATTTTAGCACAATCACAGGGGCGGTACCTAATTTAAACTATTATTGACTCACAATTACAATAATTATTAATTATTGACTTACAATTATTATTAAAATGACACAGTATGCTTTGATTTTTGAGGAATGTTAGATCGATGGTTTCTCTGCCGTGCTCTTTCCCCTCATTAGTTCCAGGTTCAGAACGGTACGATTTACTTTAATAATAAAGTAGACGTTTCCAAAAATTTTTGTTTATTTTACATACCACAACTTCCCTCAAATTTCCCTAATATTTGCTATTGTCGCGCGCATGTCAAGTTAGTAAAATTGAGTAAGTTTCCACAACGTAGGTCCTATTTGTTTTTTATTTCGCTTTTGAAATGATTTGTTGTTTAAAAAGAGATAAAAATTCAAACCGTTCAATCTTGCTGAACAAACCCGGGTATGTTATACTTCAGTCTGTACCGCGAATTTCCACGTATCGTAATTATCACGTCCTTTAGGGCGTTCGATCGGCGAGAGCTGCTTCATGGTTACACAATTGTCCAAAAACAAAATTCTGAGGGTCTCGCGAATGATTAAACGACATCTGGTCTCATAACCTGATGTAATTTAAGGGAAATGAAGGTTTAGCCCCAACTAATAGCGAAGAAACTTTAATTGATACACACGCCACGACACGACAAAACTAGTCAGCTACAAAGCAAAAATAGCACTGGTAGCTCACTTCAAATTATTTTCTACACTCTCCCGCACTCTAAGAAATTCCAGAACTTCGATGAATCTGAAGCAGGAGGTTGTCGATAGCTTCATTTTAACAATGAGAGTATGACTCTTATACAAAGAAGTGCCAATCATTTGAGAGTACCTATGTCAAACAGTCATCAAACATACTGGGTATCGGCTTCATAGTTAGGAAGAAGAACCAATAGAAGAATGAAGGAGTTCACAGTGGAAATTGCTAATCAAACCCAAGATCAAACCTTCCTAGATACCTACGACATAAAGAAGTCCATTCAATCCAGAGTAACTTTTATATTTTTCAGCTCAAAAGCTCAAGATATTCAAGCAATAATCGACCAGTTGGATCATAGAGACCCAAATTCATGGAAATCGCACCTGCTAAGCCTCATTGAACCCGCATATCTCAGCGTCGAATCAATAAAACCTGTATTGTCTATTGAAACATATTTCCATCAAGCTAAAGGTGAGAAAAATAATATTCTTTTGATTTATTGATTGAGATATTATAGGTACTTCAATACTTCCCAGTCCACTGGGAGTATATTTTTCAACGAGCATATAATGATGGGCTATTATTATTCACGAGAGAGAAAATTCAACACTAAGCTTGAATATGCAATTGCCCAAACAAACTGCAAACTTTCCTTTAACATTCGATTTGTTCTAGGTTTTCTGAATGCCAACAGTTTCTCGGCATGTCATCCACCTAGAACCATCCGGTTTTGCACCACGTCCAACATTGAAACAGCAAAATGTTCCTGGCTCAGAGAATCGGCTGCAGTTTATGGCATAGAACCCGATTTGGATTGTTTGAAAGCTGACAATACAACTCATTGTATGATGGCGCTGAACGATAATGTTGCCGACGTGGTTATGGTATCTCCTGATTTGCTCCATTCAGCTAAAAGGGATTATAATCTTACAACGCTTTTCTATGAAACTGTAGCAGACGCTAAAAAGTACTTGACTGTGGCAGTGACTAGGAAAGATTCAAAATTGAATAGCATTGATAATCTTAGAGGTGCTAAAGCTTGTTTTCCTTCTTATGATGGTGTAGCTTGGAATTCTATAGCATATACTCTACAAAAAATGCATATTATTGGTAAGATTTAATAATTTATCTTCAAATCACCTAATAATAAATTACCTTTCATTAAAGGTTGTTCTGTTAACATCGAAATGGCAAACTTCTTTGGCCCTTCCTGCGTTCCCAATATACCAAAAAACGAATCAGACAATCTATGGAAACAATGCCAGAGTGATTTTGATGGAGACCAAGGAGCACTTCATTGTTTGTCTAGTGGAGTTGGTGATGTTGCTTTTGTTTCCATGAATTCCATAAGTCAGTTTATAAATGGTGAATGTTATAAGATAAATTAGAATGATTTTAATAAATGTTGATATTTTAGTTGAAAATTTGGATTATCCTGGTCCTCGCGAGGAGAATTTCAAGATTATCTGCCAAGACAAGAATTTGCCCTGTCATCTGAGTTGGGCTCCATTAGGTCAAGCCATGATCAGGTCTTCTAGCTCAAACATGTGGATCAAGGATACTTTGGATGTGTTTTTACAATTGGATGGATTATTTGGGAAGAGCTATAAAGATCTTACTAATGCTTTTACCATGTTCGGAAGGTAAGTAGGATAAAAACGAATTTTTCTGACTGAAATATTTTTTTGTTAAAGATACGATAGTGTATCAGATGTACTTTTCCACGATGGTACAGAAAAGCTTAGGGACGTACCCACTGTTAAAAACACAGACATTATGGATTTGCCTTATAACAGTATTTTAGAAAGAACAAGATTTTGTTATTCAGAAAATGGTAGCCGTAAAATTACGTTTGATATTTTATTAGTTTTAGTGCCCATTTTTAGCTTGTTTTATTAATTATTTTATTATTACTCGATATTACTTGAGTTTTTGTTAATTTATTATTTAAGTTGTTTAGTCAAAGCTCAGGTTAAACTTCTTGCATTATTCTGTGATAAATAACGACTTATTTTAAAATGAATAAAAAATTATTTGCTTTACAGTGTTTTTTTGTGCGTCAGATACAATACAAAATTTCTGTAAATATCGACACAATGATGCCTTTTAGATGGGTTTACTCCTATTGAGCAGAGCATCCCTTCCAATTGAAAATATTGATAGTGTGAGCACTGGATTCTTTGGCACTGGTTTGTTTTAACTACCTATGTCACAACCGCCTGTTTTACAGAGGTGACATGGGGGTTGTTACTATGGGGGTTGATGAAGAGAAACTCGCTTAAGTAGTATAGAGTGATAGATATATATTGGCTCAATATGTCCCTTACATATTAGGATGCATGACCCTTCTTAACGCTAGGGTTCTTATAGGGGGCCGAACGTTCAGGATGCTTGGGGAACTGTCGGCTTATTCGCTACACAACTGTAGCTATATTGATCCTTATACCTTGTCCAGAGGAGCTTTTCCAACAAGAGGTACCGGCGCTGGAAAACGATACCCAGAGTGACTTTCCCAACTGGTGGTACAGGCATTGAGCAATGAGGAGACTTGAAACAGTGCCGCTATTTCTAGTTGGGAAAACTGCTCTGAACTCAAGACTCCCGAGCAGTGCCTGTATTTTTAGTTGGAAAAGCCACTCTGAGTATCTTGTATCGTTGTCTAGCGCCGGTTCCTCTAGTTGGGAAAGCTTCTTTGGACAAGTACCTAAGGTCACTGAAGTCACTAATGATCTTTTTATGCTTACCCAATGATGACTCTGAGCTCGTCAGCATAGGTATCCTAGGACCCTAATCTCTTGGGGGCATCCTTTGACTGCTGAGATCGTTGCAGAGTCAGTTCCAATAGTGGCTTTGATTTTCCTATTCTCATGTTTGGCTTCAATCCATACAATTATAGTTTCGTCAAAGCCCTCTATTTCTAGCCGCTCTTCTTATGGATTCATGTGAAGTTTTATTGAAAGCTCCTTCTATACCATTGAATGCGCATAGAGCGATTTCTTGACTTGAATGTGCCCTTTCAATCTTGGACTGTGTAGGGCTGTCTCAATCGATTTACCTGGCAAATTGATTCTTCTGGAGCGGGATTTCCATTAGGAATTCAATCCTTGTGTGTAGGTCAATAATTTTTTCCATAGTTTTTAGGAGAAATGGAGTTATAAGCTAATTGAACACATCTTCTGACTATGCTGCATTCTTGGCAAGCTTCCAAGATGCAGGTTTGCACCCTTCTATACTTTTTCTCGAAGTATTTTTTTTTTTTTTCGTTGTTATCCCATGTGTGGTCATGGCTTTCGTGCAAAGGCATCTCGTCGGCTCTACTAGATATTGGCCTTATTCTATTGCTTTTATTGCTTTTACTTGGAAGTCTTCAGATATGTTCTTTATGACTACTTTTCGTCGTGAGAACTTTCAAGTTACAGAAGTCCGATGACAATGGGTCCTTGTTCTTCTGTGATTGTTAGATTATTACTGTGGAAACTCCGGTGAAATAGCTCCAGAAGTGTCTTACACTTTAAATGTTAGACGCTCATTGATAACTTTATGCAACCAACTTTAGAAGATTCCAAAGACATTGAAAATTCCTTCAGATATAGATGATTCAAGTTGCACAAAGTGATTTTTTGTTTCAATATCTATGTTTCCGTATAATTAGTATTCTGAACTAATAAATCCACAAATATTCTGTATAATTATCATGTTATAACTCTAGGTAAAGTTGTAAAAGCTGCGACATAATTCAATGATGGCGTGTGATGACCGTTTGCCCTGTAATTATTGTTATGCGCTTATGGGGGTTGGTTCGAACGTGGGATCTTGCACGTGCTTTCTTTTTTGATTATCTACTTGTGGTGTCATGAAGCAATAAAACTATTTTTTTTGATGGGTCACAATCAACAAAAGACTGATTTCTGCTAACAAATTTCATCATATGGTAAATTTTAGATACGACTTAAAACTTTCATAAAATAGTGACTGTCATGAGCCCAAACAGTCCTAAAAGTAATACTGGAGAATAAGTTACTTAGTGGAATTTTTGATTCCGAGATATTGATAATCGAGTCACATTTTTCTTGCATATAGTGAAAGTCAGGCATGATGGAACAAGCAATAATAGGTATATTTTTTTAAAGATCCTCTTTTCAATACAAAAAATTTACATTTGTTCATGTTCTCCAACCAAAAAACGCTTCCCAATTCGTTTAAGTATCCAAAAAAATCATCCTCATTTTTCTCTCATATTAAATGAAGATGTCTTTGTCAATAATCATAAACGAGTTATAAATTATGTTTACTCGATCAAAACATTTTGTTCTATCTGTTGACATAGCCATCAGGTCAGGTCGAAGGAATAATGATTGAGTAATTAAGGGAATTTATGTCAAATTGGGGCAAATATGTAATTGAGCAAACTGAACAAACAAAATGTCCTTGCTAATGCCAAAATATCAATCAACAATAACAATTATTTTTTTTTTTGTTAAACTTTGAGGAGTGGTCAAACAATAAGCATATTATAAATTACCTCATTTTTTTAACCAATGGAAATTATTTTTTGGTTGCGCAGACCGCAAGAGGCGGAGTGGAAACTCACATAACCAACCCTCCAATGTAACAAGGGAGTTTTCGAAGTCAGTTTTCTGCAATAACGTAGCAAAGCAATAAAATTACATGGGGGATGTTTTCCAATGGCAAAACTAACTGACATTAAACAGCTCTTAGCAACGTTATAATGTTTCAATAATATAATATTATGACTATTCAAAAGCTGGCGCGATCCCTCTTTGTTCAGGGTGATTGTTTTAGTGAGCTTTGAGGAAGTTTCAAAGATGAAAATATGAATGCCTCAAATGTTAGTTATCCGTTTGCAGGACCACTTAGTAGGGGCAGTAGTGGTTCTATTTTACCTGTACCGGCTTTTTCTGCTTTTAGTTTGTTGAGGAATTGCAATTACTTTCTTGAGAGTTCTACTACCAATCAAGGTAAGAACTGTTATTTTATATTTTTTTGTTGTGTTTCCCGGCCCATAATTCTTTCATAATAAATGTCTGTATGTTTGAGGTGGATTTATGATATAACCTTGCTTGTTTTGGGACTTACACCTCAATTGAAATTATTGTTACCAGAAGAACTACTACAAGCTCTCTGATTAGAGACTATTTTACCTATCTCGAATGGTGCTATATTTTATTGTTATAAAATAATACTTGATTAGGCTCGGATGACTTCTGGACTTTTTGCTGACATTTTATCTTCTTTAAAGTCGTAATAAATCAGATATTTTTCAGGACAATCTTGTTTAGAAGGCCATTCACTGACAACATATGATTTCACCGTCTTTAAAACTTCATCTTGTTCTTGTTGTAGTCGAAAATCTGTCGTATTAAATTCTGACCATGTACTAAATTCATTTTAGTATAATGTAGACGTTGATCGATATAATATCTTTATCATTTTAACCTTCATCTAAAGAACTTCTTGATAATGCATCTGGACAATGAAACTCTTTTCCAGGAATATACTCTACATCATAATCAAACTTCATAAGACGCATACGAAAACGTTGTGATCTAGTTGTTGATTGACCAATTGGCTTATGTTCAAGTATTCTCACCAAAGGTTTGTGATCAGTCCTTATAGTACCTATTTTCTTATTGCTGTTCCAACATTCCTCCAATCCCATATGCACTAGCGTCTGCACTTATTCTGTTGGAAAAATTAGTCTGAAATAATTTCCTCTTTTAGATTTTCAAACTTAATGACACCTTTTTCCACCATATCATTAAGCTCTAATCGTACAATCTCCAGTAAAGGCAATGGTACGCGTCTCGGTGTTTGTAGCTACTGTCACTGGTTCATCATTTTCTTTCAATTTGATAGAATATTCAAAATCTTTCAACTTGCCAAGTCTAGTAAAAACTTTACCATATTTTTCTTTTAAATCCGATTTCATTAGTTAATTTTTATTCTCATTTTTATTAATTACTTGATTGACATTTTCTACAGCCCACTGATGCATCATTTTTAATTTTTCAATAGCTGGGTGACCTAATAAATTCTCACTGGTTCTCACGACAAACATTTCGACATGCTTTTTAACATAAGTGGCACTTTTTTAATTCTGAATCACCTGGACCCATCAACCGTGTTTCTGTTTGCTTTAAATTTTTGATTTTCTTAGGATTCCTGTAAGTTTTTGTAGTTATCATAGTTCCATCTGCACCAGAATCAATTTTAAAACATACATCCTTATTAAAAATATTCAAATTTACTGTCCATGGTTTTGAAACATGCGATATATTTTTAATGTTTGAGTCATATGAAGAATCTGTCTCAACATTTTTATATAATTCCTCATAGTGCTCAATACTGTCAACTTCTGCACTTTTTACAAACTTTGATCTACACATTTTGGAATAATGAGCTTCAGCTTTACATTTTGAACATATTTCTCCATTTGCAGGGCAATTTTCATATGGATGAGGTGCATGAATTTCCACATCTAAAACATCTAGTTCTTTGTATAAATTTCTAAGCATTTTTAGATAATTCCTCATAGTGCTCAATGCTGTCAGCTTCTGCACTTTTTACAAACTTTGATCTACACATTTTGAAATAATGAGTTTCAGCTTTACATTTTGAACATATTTCTCCATTTGCAGGGCAACTTTTATATGGATGAAGTGAACTTCCACATTTAAAACATCTAGTTCTTTGTATAAATGATTTTCTTGATTGTGAACTTTTAATCCTTTTATTTCTTCTTCATTTTATCTATATTAGAGGTAGGTACCTGCGATTTCACTTCTTATATCTTTAGTTGGTTCTCGGATTAACTCTGATTGCGTAATCTTCTCTATAGCTTTCCTGAGATCCAATTTATCATCCAGTTGTAGCTGCTCTAATAATTTGTGATCTAATATACCTACAACCAGTCTATCTCTGATAAATTCATATGTTAATTTACCATAATAACAAAATTTCGATAAATTTCTTAAAACTTCTATACACTGGCGTAACTAGCCATCTGATCTCGGGGGGGCCT